AGGTTAGTGTAATTTATAAAAAATACTTGTCGGTGAAATTAGCTGTCAGTGAAATAATTGTCGGTGAAATGAACTTGTCTGTGAATTTATTGTCGGCTGTCTGTGGAGTGATTGTCGGTGAAATAATACGTATCCGGGAAAGGATTAGAAGATCTTTTAAATTCGCAAGGAATTTTTTTCGTTAGGATAAAAAAGGGCAGTTTCATGAGCAAATTAAGAGTTTAAAGAGATTTTTTAAAAATCATAATCGCTTCGATTTTAATGTTACACTTGATCATACATCCTGATTGGTCAACTAGGGTTTCGATTATAGTTTCGGGAATTTCTGGTTTGGGGTTTCGGTTTTTTTAAAAAATCCGAAACTAGTTTCGGATTAGAACCTTCCCGAAACTAGTTTCGGGTAGGTTTCATTTCGAAGCCAACTCTATTTTGTATAAACTTAATAACCAAAATTTTATTATAGCATTATAAGTTATAACAATTTATTATTGTATTTTAACCTTAGTAAAAAAAGATTATGGAAGAGACCGATACAAAATATATTCTTTCAATTGATGGAGGTGGAATTCGAGGTATAGTTCCTGCCAAAATACTCGCAGAAATTGAAAAAAGAGTAACTGAAGAATTAAAAAAAGAAAATCCTAATGCTGATATGAGATGTGCCGATTTTTTTGATATCCTTGCTGGAACTTCAACTGGTTCTATACTTTCTTTAGCTTTAGTTGTACCTGAAAATGATCGTCCAAAGTATAATGGTTCATTTATGGTGGATTTTTTTCAAAAACATGGAAATGAAGTCTTTCCTAATTATTCTCCTTTTGGACATGTTGATAAATTATTGAAGAATGTCACTAATGTATTCAAAGGTGTTGATTTATCCAACATGGCTAGTAATGTTGTTAATGTTGTTAAAAAAGAAACTCTTAAAATTGAGACGAATATTACAAATATAACTGAATCTGATAGTAAAGATAATAATGGATCTGATGGTAAAGCTGAAAAAAAAGGGTTTGTTGAAAGATTTGTTGGTTTTCTAAGCCCAAGTCCAAATTCTCCTGACAAAGATAAAACAATTAAAAATAATGAAACTAATAATAGAGACATTGGTGAAATTAAGAATAAGGTGGAAGAAAGTGTTTCAACAAGTATAACTAATGTAACTAAAAGTAACACTGAAGATGGAGCTATTAGTAATACTGAAAATGTAACCACTGATGTATCTATTGACACGAAAGATGACAAAACTTTTAAGGAACATTTATTTGAATTACAAGAATTTTTAAAATCTTATGATCCTTTTGGTCCAAAATATGATCCATCTGGTTTTGAAAAATTATTAAATGAAAATTTTAAAGATCTTAAACTTAAAGATGCTGTAAATGGTGTGGAAGTATTTATTACTTCTTATAATCTCTCCCATGGTAAACGTGTCTTTTTTTCAAATTTAACCTCTGAACATGAGGATTGTTTAATGAAAGATATTGTACGTGCAAGTGCTGCTGCTCCCACTTTTTTCCCTGCCAAAAATTTATCTAGTAAATATTATATAGATGGTGGTGTTTTTATGAATAATCCAACATCTAA